CGTTTTTCTCAAGAACTTGCTCAAACGACATAAAATTCTCAAAATTTGCGAAGGTGGCTCCCTAGTTTGTTAAACATTTGCTCCCTTCAAGCTCCTCATTCTGCAGTCTTTAGGACTTTCCATGGAAACATGGAACTGAGCTTGGCAGGCATGTGCTTAGGATCAGGAAAGCCGATCAACAAACAAATTCAACCAGCTTTGCTTACTTGTGGGCTGCTTGACTTGAAATGATGATGCAATGCTGGACTGAACCTGTCGCGGTTGACCAGACACTCAGAAGCTTGGCAGTGCGTGGAAGCACGACAAGCAAGTGAAAATATGTGAAAATGTCTTTCCACATGAAGCTGTTGTCAGCCGATGCTGAGAAAGAGTTGGCTGGTATGCGGAAGACACAAACACCACCGCGATTCCAAGTGCTGTCGCGGGGTGTTGTTGCGTTTCACAGGCCTTGTCCCCAAACCTAGGCCAACGCCTACAATGCTCCAAATCAGACGTCTTTACCGTCTGCAGGAGACAAATTTGGGAACTATCCTGCAAGGAAGCCACCTCCATATATCACGTGTTGCATGCCAAGCTGGGCAAAAAAGCACACTCAATCCACACGATCGCACGTTTTTCTCAAGAACTTGCTCAAACGACATTCTCCAGATGAACGAAGCTGGCTCCCGAGTTCTTTAAAAAATGCAAACATGTTCCTCATACTGCAGTCCCTGTGCATCTCGCACCTGCTTGGATCCTACACCAGCTCAGATTTGGTCACCTCATCTTGCGCAGGCTCCTCTCACGCTTTGGCTCTTCCCACACGTCGTTTAAGCAATGAAACACCAAAAAGCCGAACGTCCAAAACCCACAGAACTTCTTCTCCCGACACGCGCGTTTCTTTCGCCTCCGCCTCCGGCATGGGAGGCGACGCCGCGGCAGACGTGGACGGCGCCTGGAAGGTGGGTAAACCTCATTCGCATCCACCCCACCTCCAAACCATCCTGCCAACATGTGTACGCGCTGTGCTTATTATTGAATTTCACGTACTGTCGACCCTGGGCTGCAACGTTGTGGCGCTTCTAGGATGCTCCCACCTTTTGTACAACTCAACTGATTCGGCTGTGCCCACTGTCCCCACCCGGTGCCCTCGTTTTTCGCGCGTCCCACCTTGACCACCTTAGCGGTGAAGGCCTTGGAACTCACCCGGCCGGAGGACAGCGATTTCGGCCTGCAGCTGGGGTCCTTTGCGCTGATCACCTGCCAGGCTGCGTAAATCAACGACCTCTCCGCAGTGCTAAGGCATCCATCCAATGTTTGTGGATGTTTCGGGGCTTAGGTTTGGTCCGGATTTTGCGATGTTGTGTCCGCCTCACTGCTAAGGACCGACATACCCAAGAGCAAGTGCTTCAAATCGTAGATTCCAAGCGCTCCCAACTTGTCCTTCAGCTCCTGAGCAGGGATGAACCAGCTAAAGTAACCAACCACCGGCTGATGAGGAACACATTGTTGGGCCTTCTCAACCGAAATCGGAAGGCCTTGCTGCAAGGCTACCAGGCTAAAGGAGAAAGTAACACCAGGAACAGGTGTTGAGATGATACCACGAAAGGAATTGGCATCGACAATGGGGATCGAGGCATTGCCAAAATGCGGCGTCCACAATGAGAAGAAATTCCATCGCTGCGCGTTCGCACACCCACAAGCATGGGGAGAACGCATTGCAGCCAAATGCATCTGCACCAGTTTTTTCTGGTGGAGCGATTGGGTTCACCTGATTGCTGTTCGATTAGGCTATGAAGAAGATTTATAATTACATACAGCATCATACAGTTCTTCTACGCCAAAAATCACCTCAAACTCCTAACCCTGGTGTTTCCTGATGCTTTTCGTGACAATCTCTTGCATGCGCGTGCCAGCCACAGGCCGTCCTCCCCAGTCATGCCCTGGAGAACCGTGATCATCGTATGCAAGTCGTCGGCGATCGATGAAGGCTTCGGGGTTCGGCCGGCAGTCATGATCCACAGCTCCTGGGAGCAGCGAACAGGGCACGGTACGTGTGCGATTCGCAGCTGTGGTAACAGAAGCAGCCACCTATAACAGAAGAGTTATACCAGCATAGACCCCAAACAAACACACCCAAGGGACAAAAGAAGGACGCTAAGACCTGACAACGCCAAAAGGACAACGCCAAAGGCGAGCTGGCCACGTGGTGAACAAAAGATTGTTCGATGAAACTCAATCAACTTGACATAAGCAGCTGCTACCTTTTCTCCGAATCGATTCAGGTCTGTACTGTCTGTACTCGAGTGCTTTGTTTCGAAAAGCGACCCACGTCGCATGTGTCATCTGACAGCTGACACTCTCCCTGTGGGAGCACTCCATCCACGCAATGTGACCGAGAGGATACCGAAGTGTCGATCCTACGGCCACGGCGGATGACAGCTCTGGACAGAGCTATGATTAAATTGAATTGAAATAAGAAATCTGACCCAGCCATCTCCAACTACAGGCACGACCTGGGTAGACATGATGGCTGGGCAGCGGTCAGCCGAAAGTAACTCAAACTGGACGGCAGCGGCAGACAGCACGAAGTCCCTATCCGCCGGGATGCTATTCATGGATCCGCAAGGCTACCGTCGAGCCTATGTTGTCCACATTCGCCCTGAGATTTTCGAGGTTTGGTCACACCATGAAGCCAAGATTGATCAATTAATTGGAGCTTTTGACAGTATACATGGGGTTAGCCTACAACGCTTCGTCTGCAAGAGGGATGCATGGCATCTGGTTCGTTGACAATATTGCGGCCCTTATGTCCCTCATCCGGGAAGGAGCAACAATGAGGAGTTAGACTCCATGGCCGGGGCCGTGCATGGCTTGCTCTTCGCCCTTCGTGGCGCTTGCTACTTTGAAGGATAACTGGCCGGACGGCCTCAGCCGACAGGGAGCTCAAGACCCTTGGTTCCAGGGACATGGGTTCTCCCTTTTTCACACCTACCCTTTACTCGCGCTCCTCCAGCTGCCCTACCACATCATCGCCCAGGTCTTCCAGTACGTCTAAGTGCTTTGGATACGTTAGTGCCTTGGATGGAGCGCTTTCACAGGGAGAGTGTCAGCTGTCAGATGACACATGCGACGTGGGTCGCTTTTCGAACCAAAGCACTCGAGTACAGACAGTACAGACCTGAATCGATTCGGAGAAAAGGTAGCAGCTGCTTATGTCAAGTTGATTGAGTTTCATCGAATATATTCATTCATTCATTCATTCATTCATTCATGGTCGGTGATGAGGAATTATTTGGGAAGCTTCAAGTCAACGTCTCCCCTCTTGTTTGAATGCTCAAGCCAAACTGGGGAGACTCCCCTGAGGAGCAGAGTCACTGCTGATCCCTCAGGTTAAAGTTTCTCCCACCCTGCCACACCCTTATTTTGCAGCTGTTCGCTGGTTCATGGTCCACCGGGCGCTGGGCTAGCTGGTGGCCGACTCGGCATGGTGCCTGCAGAGTCTTTTGATTACCTGGTGTCAGTCAACGATGGCCTGTGCTGTCGGCTCGGGGGTCATTGCCTGCTATTTTGGTTAATGAGAGGAGGGGACTGCGCTTTCATGCGGACCTGGGAGGAATACTGGCGCTCTTTGATACTGTGAAGTCCTGATCGTCCGAGTTTGCCGAAACACCCTGTATAGTCAAGAACCCGAGGCAACCAAAGAGCTTTGCTGCAAGGCCCGGTGGAAATCGTTGTGTTCGGGCAGCCTCAGCCATAATGCCAGTGACCTTGGCCACAAGGCGGTCACGGGCCCAAAATTTCACTGAAGCGCCCTGCTGGCAGTCCGCCACATCATGAATCAGACCCACTGGGCAGCCAGGGATTGGCGCTTCTCCGCCTGGAAAGGTGAACCAAAACAGGTCGCCAGCTCATTGACAAAAGCTTGACCGGTTCCTCCCATAAAGCCAAAGTCCTGGATGGTAAGATCGTCGAAGTACATACTGGTCACGCAATGGGCAAGTCGACGGCAGGCTGCTTGAAAGAAACGAGGGAACCTGTTGAAGGAGCACACAGCATTGGGGAGCCCAAACAGCGAACCATAGTAGCGTCGAAAACGTGGGGCTCCAGCATGGTGGTCATAGTATGCCACGATGGCCATATTGCTGTGGTCCGGTCGCATTGGAACGTGCCGATAGGCGTTGGGAAGGTCTTCGCCGCCAGACCAAATGCCTGCCCGCAAGAGCTCCTCCCTGTGCGAAGATGAGGAAGCGGCTTGCCACAGAAGCTGAACATGAAGGCCAGGCTGAATGCTCGTACAGAGGTCAAGCCTTTTGGCATCGGAACTGAGGGCGCTCTGGCCGCCGTCAGCAGCATCGTCAATGACACGAAGTTTGCCAGTCAAGCGCAAAAAACCTTTGGCTTGGTCATCTTCCCCAGCTTGGACAATAGTCTCGTCATATTCACCAGGACGTAGGCTTTGAACGATGCGGTCAGCATCTCTTTGAGCGTCTTCATAGATGGAGTCGCTGGTCACATAGTGGGCTGGCTGCGCCTTGTAGATGGGGACGGGAGGCTAAAAACCCACTGCCGAGAAACCATAGATCAGACTTACCACAAACGTCGGATCAGGCCAACCAATGAAGAGCATGACAAGCCCGATGAGTGCAATGTGGCGCCCTTGTGTAGCAGATCTGATACCAGCAGCTTGGTAGGACTGTAAGTGTTGAGTGATGGGCCACATCCGGCGGCCCAGCTTGAGGTTCTTGAAGACTGCAAATCAGCCATGAAATGGTCCTGGTCCGCAATCCACCTTGCATAGTGCAGGACACTTTCCACAATGGTACGGCCTGCTTTAAAGGGGTTCTGCCATTGGGTCAATGCCCATCGATGAGAGAAATGGCCAGGGCCGATGTAGACGTCATCTTCGTGGAGCTGCGACCGGTTTTGAAAGACATCCAAAGCCACCAGGCACGTTGGTACGTAGGAGGCATCTTCCAGTGGGGGTGAAAGGCCCAGGTGGAAGACCATGACAGTCGTAATGGCCGAACGTCGCCAGAGGTGGCGATAGGTGGGCAACCTGTTCCATAGCCATGGCGGGCAGCCCAAGCGGTGCAGCAAACAGCCAAGGTGAAGACCAGACTCGGTGTGTACTTGGCTTCAGTGAATGTAGAGAATTGGCCGACCTGGGATGATCTCCACTCATTAGGATCATGGATGTGCGCACACGTGACGGCAGGCAGGGAAGCGAGTTCGAGCACATTGCGACGAAACTTCTGCGCTTTGCGTCGGGCCCCTCCGAAGACACACGCATCATAATCCAAATCAAACCATTCACCATCGTGCTGAACAAACTGCTCAACAGGGTCCCACCAGTGCAGTGACCTCAAAGGATTTTCACGGAGGGATGCAAGGTGTGCTGAGCACCCCAATGTTGCAACACCAACAAGAAGTCACTAGAGAAGTTGTCGGCATCCACACGTTCTTGGTTCACAGGGTCCAACCCCGCAAGACCTCGTGGGAACTCTTCAGACCGCAGGGGAGGAGGACCATGGACACCGCTGAAGATGTCAAGGAGGATAGGACGTGGGGATTCTTCGGACTGGCGTAGTTATTCATCCAAAAAGGAACGAAAGTCATCAAACACATGATTGTCCAAAGATTGGCCTTGCCCCCCGACAGAGGAGCGGCCCTCTTTTCAAGCAGCCTGCTGGAACGATCCGCAAACGCGCCCTGACTGCAAGACGACCCCGCACCGCGCTGACAGTTCTTCTTGGTGCGGCACTGGTTGCGCTGGAAGCAGGGCACAACTGGGCCCGTCACGGAGGCTGAAGACCACAGCGCCAACTTGTCCAGCGGCCGCGCTTGAAGCTGGGGCCGACGTGGCCCCCCTTGAAGCGGGACCCCCGGCAGTGCCCCTGCCAGCCAAAGAGCATCGCGCTCCCTCATCACAGCCCCGATGATAACGCCCAATGTAGTAGCGCCCGTGCACCGGGCAGCCCATTGCCCACGCTCCTCCACATCGAGGTATTGGAGAAGCTGCAAGCGTCGAGACTCCGTCGTGCGAAGGAAGAGGTCATGGCAACGACAGAAGTAGGACAGCAGAACGTCATAGGGCACCTGACGTAGAGCAAGCTATCCGTAGCGAGCGTCTCAGGCGCAGGGCGCCGGCTCGATCGGGCGGCACCCGACAATGGCAAGGTCAAGGAAGTACGTCTCCATCTTTGCCATGTAGGATAGCCAAGACTTCGTGGTGGGCTCGTCATCGTCATCCTCCTGAATGTACAGGTTGTCCGTCAAGCGGCGGCGTTTCTGGCTGTGGGTGCGTTGGAAGGTCAAGGACCGGACAGTCCAAAGGTCCATCACCTCAAACTGGTTCCGAGACAGCTGCCGGCTGAGTTTGGACAAGAGGCGATCAGAGGGAACTGCCTCGGCTCCGGCCTCAGGCGATAACGACGAAAGAAGGCCTCTTTCAATTGTTCCAGTCCCGCTTCGGCAGAAGTGCTTCCTCCTCAGTGAACGGGTGGCAGCCTGGCCGCAGCATGCTCCGAATTTAAGAAGGCCTTGCAGGCAATCCAAGCAAAGGGCACCCGAGCAGCCTGGAGACGTCCCTGCATCTCTTCATAACTGGGGCCCGTGATGGTATCGACGAACAAGCGCTTCACCTCATCCTCATTGCGGGCATAGTGACGAAATTCTGCCAAGGTGCGGATCCCCAGTTCGATGATCTTATCCTTGATGCGTTGCTCAAAGTTGAATTGAAGAGCCAAGGCCGTGAATGTGTCCTCCGGGGCAGCGAGCTGCTTAGGGACGGCCGCCATGAGATCCAAGAGGAATGACACAAAGCGATCAGCGATAGAATGCTTGAGAAAAAAGGCTGCAAATGGAAGAGGCTGCAAATACAAGACAACACAGTTCGCAACCGACAATCATTGCATTTGAGACAACCTGACAAAAAAGACTTTTTTCAAAAACCCAGGGGCAGTCGGCTCCGGAGCAACTAGCCCAGCCGGTCCGCAAGCTCACCAAGCTCCCGGCCAAAACATTG